CCTACTACCGATCAATCCTTCGCCGCGGGCTATTATTTTGTTTACCTGCGACCTCACTCCTTAGAAACACACATGGAGCTGAAAAACAAGTTACACACGTGACTTTGAGTAGGGTAATTTGCCGTACAAACAGCAGAGCTTTTTTTGCCTATACGAAGCAACGGCGGCAGTAGGGGGGTAGCAAGCTCGGTCTAGTGGAAAACAAGCTGGGGTAAGAAGCAGGCCAAGGATGCGCAGTCGACGACGGAGCGAGTAATTTCCAATACTGGGGATAATCACGTATAGGAGATTTTAAAAAAAAAAAAAGAAAAAAAAAAAAAAAAACTGTCACATCTTCAATCGAAAACTTGTTGTTAGTATGACAAGATGTTGTGCGCATTTAAGTTAATTGCAATTGCATGTTACAAAATAACAAAAACAGAAATAAATAAAGATTTTCTTACTAATTACCATAACGAGTGGATTACAAAAATGTACATCGACCAACGCTCTAATTTCATGCAAAACGACTACTACACAATCACTAACGATACTTCCACACAGACCTAACAATGAATCTCATTCATGACTCGTTGTAGAACACAACATACGCACGTATCCATTGAACAATTCTCGATTATGTTCCTACATACATGTATTTACAAACTTACGTGATACATAAACGACACCTATTCATTCGTTGATAAAACGCGCTTGGCGCAATAATTTACATTACACCGTACGTGTGTGGCGATACTCACTCGATTAGCAACTAATGGACAAACACGACAGCACGTCAAGACTTTGTTTGCTTTCCGATGCATTTGGTCGCCCCTGGACTGTCTTTCGGTGCGTCGACAAACTCGTCAACGCGTTTTACATACCACGAGTATTTTAGTTGCTTTCGACTGTCTCTCTAACGTATGCGTACAACAATCGAATCGACTTAACACAAATCTAGGCCAAGAAAGTTTATATATACACAACGGAACAAGGTTTTTCAACCGTAATTTTCAATCACTGCCACGTGCTAAGTATGTAAAATAATTTATCGCAAGTATACAGGTAAATTAAACGTAAGGCCATCGAATACTTGAAGTTTCTTTTTGATTTGTAGAGGTATATAATTGTACACATCACATTGAATACAAATAGTATGAAATTAGTTTGTTTACACTAATTCTTAGCGGCAGTTCGCACCAATGAAAGGAGAATCACAGATTGTTCGATTCATTTGCTTCCTTCAAATCTTGTTTTAAAAGTTGAACAGAAAAATACGTCATAAACTTGAAAATTAGGAAAAAAATAAGTTTACGTCGCGTTCGATATTTACGCGTATGTAAATAAATAAATACAATCGAGAAGCTGACTCCAAGATCACTTAACTCGCATCCGGTGCGCGTATAAACACATACACATGTTTATATGTAAACATACACAAAAAATCACGCACCTAGTGCTATTGACGCAAATGACGAGGTGTAAATATGGTAGAGTCTCGAGGGAATGCTTTATCTCCTATATTTTTGCTGCCGAAATGATTTTATGACGGTGAGCTTTAAGAGTGTTTTTTCTCACTTGCAAAACGATTTTACCGTACACGTGTTCCTATCAACCCTCAACCTACCTTTTTATCAAAACATCAAAGCTTAGTTTAAATACCACTTTTAACATCGTAAATTGTACATTAAACGCGCTGGAGAGGGATTACTTATGCGACTCGAGTACAGTATTTTATACACACAGGTATGTTCGTGCAAATCTCGTGGCTGCGATCTGAGCGAGTTTTTTCTCTCATTTTTTCGAGCCTCCGTCCGCCGTGTGCTTTCTTCTACATCACTTTTTTATTTTCATCCACGTTCTTTCAGCGCCAAGTCGGCTCACGTTAACTCGACGGCTTCAAGTTGCCACTTGTTGATTGCGAGCGTGTATACATAAATATAAATCTAGATTCGTCAGTCACGCTACCGATGCTACTGCGTTTACTTTTCCTGATTATTATGATGGACGTGTTTTTATACATTTTTCTTCTCGAATTATTATTTATTCTATTTGGTATTGAAACGAGTTTGTTGGGAGGAGCTTTCAATGAAAATATTACAAAAAAAATTTTCATACCTCATCAAGCGTTCACGTTATCTTATTTTCTCTTTTTGTCTCAACATGTTTATAAATATTATATATTTTTTTAATATACTGTGACATATATTAATTAAACTGTTACGTAGAGCTAATTACTTACGATGGTTGCGATTACGAACTCATTGGACCTTAATGTGTACGATTTCAATTTCCATTAATAAAACTAATTCAGCGATGTGAGTCTATAGATTCGTTCCTTCAATTGCACTTACAAGCGGTTCGCTATAAGAGCCAATTCAAACGCGAATGTACTTATCTCTATGTACTTGTACTACAAGATTTGCATGCATCGACTCGCTCTCACAGACTATCACAAGTTCCTCTCTACACTTGAAAGTAAGGTACTAGAGGTATACATTATTTTTTTATAATTATTTCCATGATACATACATGGACTTAAAAAATTGATCTTGATGATTATTGCAGTGTATGTAAAGTTTTTCATTTATATGAACGAGTGTATCGGGCTAAGGCTCGTTTGTCAGCGCCGTATAGTAGTCCTGAGGAGTGACATTTGATGGTGCTCCGAACTTGGTAAAAACGGTCATAGTTTCGATTTCTATTTTGGCGAAGTAAAAGCCGTGACCTGAAATTAAAAATTTTAATGCATTATCTTGTGGAAGGCAATTAGTTATCCATAATTTTACTTCTTTTA